TATTATTATTATTATTATTATTATTATTTGCAATCTCAAATATGTACATTTAAGCACAATTGCCGAAAATGACATGCAGGGTTTGAGAGCATGGTAGACCTAAAGTTACGCCTTTGCTTGAAATGTGTACCAATACATCAAAACTGTCAGATGTTTTGATTCTAAACTCTTTTCCGTGTGCACTGCTATTTTCAGTTACGTTGGCTGTTTCAGTTTGGGAATAAAGGCAACTGAAATTGGCACCTGTTCACAAATTTTGATTTCAAATTTGTAATTTTAGGACAATTTGCCCATTAATATTTAAAAAAACAAAACAAAAACAAAAGTAGGGCATTGCAATGAATTTCTTTAACATCCTAAGACACGACTCTTGAATTGCATGCATTTTTGTCTACATTTGTGGTGCCAGGTCCTAGGAGGTTAAAGTGACTATGATATGCATATCCTTCAAATAGAAAAAAATCAAAGAAAACAGCTTTACATTTAAAAACGCGGCATAATACATATAATTTTACCCATTTAGTCACATAAATGGCATATTATCTTTTGAACCTGTGGCTCAGTCAAACTGAAACAGGAAGTGACATCAAAGGGGAAGTCTTAAAGTAAACTCTCTGGCTTTTGTTTATTGAAGCATTGTTATTTGATCTCTGATTCTTCTTCGTCTCTCTGATAGTGACTCAGAATCCGAAGAAACATCAGATTATTCTCTACCATCTGTGTTTTCAGCCACTCCAACATGCAGACATTTGTCTTTGACATCACTTCCTGTTACTTCACATGGGAATATCTCAACAACGTTTCATGTCAGCGACAAGATTTTTTTTCTGATATGTTATCAATGTTATGATTCCAAAAATGCATTCATATTTACTACAAAAAAATTACGTCACAGACACTTTAAGAAAATAATACAATGCTTACGACCTTTTGTTTTGGGTTAAGCTCTTTTCTCTCTATGGTCTTTCATTATGTGCATTGATGCAGTTTTTTTTTTTTTCTTTTTCCTTTTTTGTATTTCATACATGGCAGGCTCGACCAGTGTCAGCTCGTCCCACCATGGCTGCCCTGCTGGAAAAGATGCCACCTGACTATACCCTGGCAACCTGTCCCGAGAAACCATCAGAGGACACCATCAAAGTAAGACCGGTGGTGCCGCAGAAACCTGAAGACATCACTTCCAAGATGCCTGCTGACTGGAGGCAACAACTCCTCAGACACATAGAGGCCAAACGATTGGATAGGGTATGTGGATACAGCCCAGACACGCGTCAGATTCCCACACACAGCATTTGGAAGCCCTCCTTGTCTGTATCCGTGTAAGTCTGTGTTGTAAGGTTGACCAGATTTGTGTGCAGCTGCATGTGTGTCCACTCCACACTGTCGCTGTGTCAGCCTGACCTTTTGCACACTCTCATCACTGGATATGTGCTGCGACGATCACATTTCTTTATACGCAGTTCAGTAAAATCTTCATCGTGAGAAACAATCCAATCTTGTGTCATGCCCTCTTTTTTGAAACAAGTGAAAAATCATCAGGAGACTCTACTAGCTTGAATTAACCTGTTGGAAAAACTCAAAACAACTAAACTACAAATTTATTAAACATGGATGCTTATTCAGAATGGTTTATTTAAACAAACAGTTTTTGGGGTTATTTTCACTTGTTTAAAAAAAGACAAAGATCCTCTGAATCACGATCATTGCCAATGAGGATATAAAAATAAATACACTGCTACTTTTGTCGAAGCCACAGAAGTATTAAGACAGAACCACTATTCCGTAAAATATTCTCATGCTATAAATTGAATAATAAGATACTGTAGATAGTTTTTTTTTGATAAATATAACTTCAATAGTTTAACTCCCAAAAACATAAAATTATATTAATTTGTTTAAAAATAAAATATCTAAATCACAAGCTTATGTTAGACATTTTGCATTTTAAGTCTGAACAATAAATATAACAAAATCAGTTTGAGGTTTTAGAGCAGCTTTGAGCAGGGGCGGAGCTAGACTTTTATGCAGTGGGTGGCACAGGGGTGGCTAAGGTCTTTTTTAGGGGGCACATTCAAATAGATAAAATCACTCTCAGCATTTGAAAATTCAAGGAGGATGCCACAGCTAATACCAAACAGCGTTAATTCAGTTGTTTTACGAAACATTGAGCTGAAATTTTGTGATCATCGCGAAGAATAATGCAAAACACACTGCATGCTAGTCACGACACTAGTGTAGAATTAGATGAAAACAATCTTTACCAAATTCCTATTACTAATCAATAATTTAAGATGGTCACCACAGCTAACTTTTTAAGACTTATTAAGACAAAATTTGTTAAGTAGCTAAGAATGATCACGTTTCGATTGTTAACAGTAACTAACACTAATCCCAAATTATGCTAATGCTAATTTTGTAAAAAGCTATAAGTCAGCGATTTTTCAACATACACAACTAAAATTTTATTATTATCAGATCTTTAACAAAATCTAAATGGAAATACAAAATCCAAGATCTCCATCCACTTGTCAGTTATTTAGGGGTGGCACCTGGGGTGTCCAATCAGGTGAAAGTGCTACGCCTGGCCCCCTGACAACTCAGAGTCCCTGGTCATGAGCTTCCAATCGGAAACATTATTGTTACTTTATGATATTATTATAATACTTTATACACATCCACTCTTTTTAGGTATTATGCAGTGTTTGATGAAATGTTTCCATATATTACTCCTCTGAAAGCTTTAAGTACTACTGCTGGAATGAAATGATCCACCTCTTGTTTCCTGTATGACACAATGTTATGTGTGTATTGACCAATCACTAGCTAACATTTCTCTGTGCTTTCAGCAACTTTGCACTGTTGTTGTTGGTTTTATCAGTGTTCTTGTTGTTTTGTATGTTTGTTTCGTGGAGCTGTGTTGCCTCGCGGTGTGGGCTCCACCTCTCTTCCCTCCCCTCCCCCTCATTCACCCGTGTCGTGTGATGTTGTCTCCTTCAATCAGAGTGGTGTCCTAAAGCACAACACGCTCACGCTGGGCATGCTCTATCAGGGCGGGGGTCACGGCCAGGGGCGCAGCAGCACTTTGAACTTTAACCTTTACAATAACACTAGGCATGAGCCCCCTGCTGGCCACTGGCTGCCACTACCTCCTCCTCCATCGGCCATCGCTGTGAGTATTCCCACTGAAATCAATGAAACCCTGGTTACTCCTACTGTTACTGCATACATACTAGTACAGTTTAAGGTTATCAGGACAACAAGCTGTAAGTGTCTGTCTACGCCATATTCAGTCATTACAAGGAGAACTTTGTGGCTGTCTTAATGCTCCTTTTATTATCAGTTGATTCATAAAAAATATCTTAAGTGTCAGTGTTCTTAAACACCTGGAAATCATGTGTTTTGGGAGAACTATATGTGAGAACAGTTCTAAGGGTGTTTTAAAAATGTGAGGAAAAAAGTCTAGAACACCATAACCAGGGGCAGAGCTAGATTATGTTTTTGCAAGGAGTGGCACAGGGGTGGCCAATGTATCCCCCCCTTTTTGTGTGTGTGTGTGTGTGTGTGTGTGTGTGGGAGGGGGGGTTCAAATTAAGAAAAGCACTTAATATTTAAAAATTCAAGATAGCCAACACAGCTAATTCTAAATTGCTTTAATTCAGCTGTTTTAAAAAACATTGAGCTAAAATTTTGTGTGACCATGGCTAAGAATTAGGGATGCACCGATATGAAAATTTCAGCCGATGTCGACATCCAATATTATTATTGGTGTTATGGCCAATAACCGATATTTACCAATATTACACAGACACAAATTATTTATATACGTATACACACTTTCTTCTTCAGTACTGTAAAAAAAAACAACCAGATCGCTGACATAGCTCTCACTATCATGATCAAACAAATACCACTCGACCAACCATTTCCTCTCCCAAAATAGAAACACAAAGTTAAAAAATGAGAAATCCATATCAGACATTTGTATCAGCCCTGTTTTACTTATCAGACCGTTATCGATATTCTAAAAAATGACAATATCGGCTGATATCGATGTTAATGCCAATAAATTGTGCATCCCCTACTAAGAATGATTAAACTAAACAGGCCAATGCTTTGAGTGTAAATGTACACACAAAGCTGAAGATAAGTGTAGAAATAGCCGAAAACAATATTTACCAAATTTTGTGTGCTTATCGACAGCTCACTTTAAAGGACAATAATTCAGCCATTTTAAGACTTGCCGAGATTGAACTTGTTGTGGAGTAGCTAAGAATGATCACACGCCGTTTAATAATGCTAATCCCAAATTAAAGACATTTTACAATGGGCTACAATTCAGTCATTTTAAACATCTGAAAATGTACATAGTAGAGTTAGAGTTAATATCCAGAGAACAAATTGCAAATACAAAAGCCAAGGTTTCAATCCGCTTTCCAATTATTTTGGGGTGGCCAATCAGGTGCCACCTTGGCCACCCCTCTGCCTCCACCCCTGCTAGAAATTATTCATATCAATGCAAACAATAGAGTTTAGCGATACTTCTATATAATGCATGCAGCATATAATCTACAACAAGAACCCCACGCCCCAGTCCTGTGCTTTACCTTAATTTCTGCTAAAAACAGCAGCTATGTTAACCTGAAAAACATGTGGCCTATCTTTAGAAACGTAGAGCAAGCAGTCAAAAATGTCCTCCACTTTTCCCTGTGTGTCGCTTCAGACTTCTGCTAAACAGAAAGTTGGGCTTTTCTGCGTGTTTGGAGTCAGTTTTACACAGGATAAAGAATTTAGCACATCTAACAAGCATGAATAAACCCTAGAGAAAACTATGCCGCTTACATTGTGGCAAGCCAGTTGAGTTGGTAATCCTTCACTTTCACCCAGAAAAGATTCATGTTTACTCTGGTAATAGAACGAGAAGGGGATCATTTGAATTGCAGAACGTCTCGGAACGTGCTCTGAAGGAATCTTGTTTGAGTTGTCCACTTGGAATAAAATCACCAAATGCTCAGATTAAAGGGATTTTTCTGCCGCCTTGAAGTTGAGGTTTCATTTCTAGGTGTTATATTATTGTAATAAGGAATAAATGAGGGAACGTTATGAACAAGTAAAGGACTGTTAGATGGATTGTAACTGTAGATACTAAAGTTTTCTGTCTCTCTCTCAGACCCCTTCTCAGCAGGGCGCAATGTTGGATAATGACCAGGAGGGGGTGTCAGGGAACAACCAGTGGGCTCCTTACTCACTTGGTAGACGAGATGTTCCACCAGACAACCTCATGAAAAAGGTTAAGTGACTTTCTAGTCTATAAAACTTCTAATTTACGAATAAATGTGGAAGAGAGCTGCCTTTAAAACCCACCGAGTGACGCAGAAGTGATCATGACTGTGTGCGACATAATTTGTCACCCCAGGTTTCTGACTGTCGTGTCGTCTTTTCACAGAGCGGACACTCACACAACCCTTCACACCAGCCGCACAACACCATGATCGTCACTTCCTCCTCGTCCTCCTCGGCCTCTCAGCCTCACCGCGTGGTCGGGCAGCAGGGCTACGATGGGATGATGAACAAGGGTGGGCAGTACCAGCAAGGCATGACCTTGTCGGTGGTTCCATCTGGTGGGCAGTACCAGGGCAATATTTCTCAAGGTAAATAATTCATTTTGGCGAATTCAAAAAGTTATGTGTGGCATGTGTTGATTTTATTGCTTAATGAC